GGTCGGCCCCTTATTACACAATAAAAAAAAGTTACCTACTCCGATTGCATTGCATTGTGGTAGCGTTATTTTCAAAATGGAGGTAAACGCGGCAGAAATCGGCAGATTTTGACTGAAAATTCCGCAAAAGTTAGGCCGTTTCTTTTTCCTTTCACCATAATTGAACATAATTTTATATATTCTGAATGTGTAGAAGTATTTTTCGTACGTATTTGTCGCGTATTCTATCGTTCTCAAGGACAAACGCAGGCACTGTTTTTGTAACACAATCTCATCCGGCTTTGCCAAACCTCATGAACATACAGATGGGAAAATGACACCTCAAAACCGACCCTTATTACCACATCGCAAAGGAAAGTCATCGAGAGATATCCTAATGATAGCTAAACTTTGAGGGTAGAAGATTTAAAAGCGCTAGCGAATGGAAGGAGAAGGACAGGCCTATCAACACCTTCCAACGGTCGATTGCCTTTTGGTTTCAGGCTTGCCAACGTGTCGCCTCATGCAAGGTAGAGGTTTTCATGGATCGAATGACTCTTTTCATTACTCTAATTAAACTGTCCTTCATTCAATGATCAAGATAGAAGATTTATCACAGAAAACTCACGATGAGTTCATTTTCCTTCGCTTAGGAGAGTAGATTTACAACACGATTGAGTACATATAATAAATGTCCTTGCAGTAGTAACGCTATGTAACGCAACATACTAAACGCAACGATGGGCCTTTTCGCTCCGCCAAAAGATCTCAAACACTATCACTTAAAATGCACAAAAAATTTGTACCGTTGGAGCGCGTTTGAGCGCGTTTGATCAGAGCTGTTGAAGAAGGATCAAAGTGGCCATACAAATCTTTGGAAGGCTTCAAACTACGATGTACAACGAATTTGACTTTCTGGAAAACCGGTCTCAAATTACAAGGTTACAAAAGGCAATATTTTCTTCTGTGCGCGCGCTATTTTCTTTGTTTTTAAGTATACTTCTCTCATGTAGAGATAACTCCAGAGATACGTTTCTCAAAACCCTCATCAAGGTTTCCTATATTCTCGGAGGGTATTTTGAAACTCTGTACTCTTAGAAAGGACTCGTCACGGATGGAATGACGGGAGTCGCGCAGGCCCGTCAAACTTATTAACTTTCGAAGGAACGGCAACAGACAGTGAATCCCCATTACAATCCACGTATATTTACGCTACCTCGCTGCCACCAAAGAGGTTCACTTCAACGCGTCAAGATGCAAATGACTCAATTTTTGTTTTACGACTATGATGTAACGCAATCAGAGTGCGCGCAACCGCAGCACGCGGGTTGCGCAACTGACGGCGTGAACTGTCATCTTAAGAGCGTGTTAAGTCACGCAAGGAAATTAAACCAAAGAGGTGTTGCTTTAACAGATAATAATACGGAACCTGACCAATATCTCAGGAATATATCAGCAACCATAGTAGTCAAAATGGAAGTGTGTAGCTTTCTTCTTCAGCTCTGTTTTCTAGCCTTCATTTTCAAGGGAATTACTGCCGAAAAACCTGCATGCAACAGCGAGATCTTCTGTCGCGGCGATCTTCTTCACACTGTTCAAATGGCTCGTATTTTTAACGACTCCAAAACGTTTGTTGACATGAGACTGCGGAGAGACAAAGCGGATGTTTTGCAGGCATTCAAAGCTCTTGGACCGTCGGGTAACATATCGAAAGAACAAGTAATCAGGTTTGTGAATGACAACTTTCATCCCATAGGACATGATTTGCAAGCGTGGACTCCACTCGATTGGCAAGAAAACCCAGCTTTTATTGATTGCATAAAGGACAAGAACTTAAAGACTTTTGCATCTAAGCTCAATGAGTTATGGAAGAAGCTGGGAAGAAAGATAAGTGAGGATGCGCGAACGAACCCCACGCGATCTTCCTTGATTTTAGTGACAAATCCATTTGTTGTTCCTGGTGGTAGGTTTCGAGAATATTATTACTGGGACTCGTACTGGGTTGTAAATGGTTTGCTCGTTTGCGGCATGAAGGACACTGTCAAAGGAATGATTGACAACTTTATCCAGCTGGTTAACACCTACGGGTTTGTTCCAAACGGAGGTCGAATTTACTACACAAATCGAAGTCAACCGCCATTTCTGATCCCAACTGTGGGCCTCTATCTTAACAAAACTGGCGATGTAGACTACGTGAAGTCCATTTTGAATGCTCTGGAGAAAGAATACATTTTTTGGAGGAGACATCGCACTGTTGAAGTTGAAGTGTCCTCTGGGAAATATAACCTGTCAATCTACGCCGCAAACATGGATACCCCAAGACCGGAGTCTTATTATGAAGATTTTCACACTGCTCAAGAGGTACCTGAAGACGCCAGATCAACTCTATTTCAGGACATAGCATCTGCAGCCGAAAGTGGCTGGGATTTCTCGACCCGATGGTTTAACCATACTGATCGCAAGAGGGGGTCTCTACGTAGTACCCAGACGAGGCAGATCATACCCACCGATTTGAACAGTATTCTTTTTGCCTGCGAGAATCTACTGGAAAAGTTCTTTCGTATGACTGGAAACACTGCTAAAGCAGATGAGTATAAAATTTTCTCAGAAGTCCGTGCAGCCGCTATTGAAGCTGTACTATGGGATGAAAAGGGACTTTGGCTTGACTACGACCGGCAGTTGAAGAAAAGAAGGGGTGATTTTTATGCATCAAGCGTGGTTCCACTCTGGGCTGGCGTTCTACGGGGCAACGTTGCACGAGAGACGATGGTTCTAAGGACGCTCAAGAGACTTAAAGTCCTGGATTATCCCGGAGGGCTCCCAACCTCGTTGTTGTCATCTGGTCAGCAATGGGATTTCCCAAATGCATGGCCTCCCCTGCAGCATATGCTTATCACAGGTCTCGCAGAATCAAGGGGCGAAGGGATGAAAGAAGAAGCCTTGAATTTTGCGCAGAAGTGGATCACTGCCAACTACAAGGCGTGGCGTGCGACCGGTCATATGTTTGAAAAATTCAACGTGAGCGTCCAAGGTACCCCAGGGGGTGGAGGTGAGTATGACATTCAAGTCGGGTTTGGATGGACCAATGGAGTCATTCTGGACCTGCTACAGCGATACCCAGATAAGTTGGTCAGCGGACAGGAGCACACATCACAAGTTATCAATCCACCACCTAAAGCCAGGGGAAATCTGGTAGTGGCAACCAGCACCTCTCTTATTTGCAATATTATTTTGATCGTATTTGGAATCTAGTCTCTTAGCCAGACCTCCCAAGGACAAATGGTTACACTGTAAGATCTGGGCATGAGACTATTTAGAACGTGAGGGTACCTCTGTCACACCCTCAATTTTTCCTGAGGCGACCGTGACGGATGTCACGCAAGAGTCATAATAAAGACTTCCTAGATAATTAGATAGACTTTCAAACCTCATTTAACATATTGATTGAGTATGTCAATCATAGCGGTTTTAGCACTTTTGTTACATTGTGGTTAAGAAGTATACACTCCTTGAAGTCAAATTTCAGTATTAAGGGGGGGGGGAAGGGGAAGGTCGCTGAGATGAAATAAACAAATAATAGTTTATTAACACTTCTGGCAGTTAAAAACTGAATTAACGGTGTAAGTTACAAATTAGATACTAATAATTAAATCTATTTACAATAATAAGTATCATAATAATAATCGGAATCACGAGAACCTAAAGTGAAAAAGTCATTTGCTTTCTTTGTCCTTTTTGTTGTTGTAGTGGCTTTGGTATTTCCTCCTGATCTTAACTGACATGGAATAGATTTTGTCATAACTTGTGCAGCTAAGATGGATATAACCAAAGTAAAGCGCGCGCTCTGATTGGTCTATTTAGCGTCCCCCATTTGCCCATGGGTGTACGCTGCTGACGTGAGCAAATGCAAAGACTATTTTTCCGCGCGCGCTTGTTTTTTCTAGTCACGTAAGATTTGTTAAATAAAAGGGAACTCTTTAGCTACAATGTATCAATGTTATGTTATAAAACAAATGGTAAACACCACAGCGTACACTATTGAGTTATGGATGCACTTGGGAGGTTTGCTAAGCACAGAAGAAGCTAGAGTCGCTCTCGGCTATCGCCTCGAGGGACTCTTACGCTTCTTTCGTGCTAGCAACCTCCCGCGTGCATCCATAACTCAATAGTGTACGCTGTGGTGTTTACCATTTGTTAAATAGGGTAGTTCTCATTCCTCATATCCGCCATCAACTTTTTACATATAAATATCCTGCGAACTACTAACGATGTCAAATTTGCTTGATCTAGGGCTTGTTGATAATGATGATGAAGGAAACCCCAGTTGCCAGCGAGACATCGGGGTGAGAACTCTTAGTTGAAAATCTCACCTATACTGCCCCAGAAATATGTATCTGTCCGATTTTGCTTAGTAGATCATATTTCGATTTGGTTTTATAGAAGCGAAAGCGAAGCAATCAGTACAGTCAATCATGAGAAAGGAAAGTTAAATGAGAACTAGAAATAAAAAACAAGAACGCCGCTTGAAGCGCGAGAAATGGGGAATGACCAGGTCGCGATAAGTGTTAGTTCCAAATTTGATTGGCTGCGGAAAACTTCGTGTCAGTTTTATGAACCAGTCAAATTGTGAGATAAAGCAATACCAGAGCTATCGGATTTCTTTCGACACTCATTTGAAATTGCTCTATATGTCTTTGTTTCTTAACTTCGCGTTAACGAAAATCGTACCCTGAAAATATATGTAGACGGTGCGAGATATTCCAAGAAAATAATTCAAATGGGAATTTTGCTCTTTTTTTTTTAACATGCAGAAATGTTCATGTTACAGTGTGAGCTGACAATGATTACTAGATATAAATCTCTAGAAAGACGGAAGTTAGGGCTAAAAAATTAAATGAATGTAAAGAATATAGATCCCTTGAAACTTTACTCTTAAATTCTGAATCGGATCAGGTGGAAAGTCAAGATCCCATCGTCATGACTGTCATTTTTTTCGTTTTCTTGCTTGTTTGTTCGTTTAATTTACAATAGTCCTTTTCTCTTTCGTAATAGTTTTTTTTTAAAGTGTCTTATGTCGTCTTACGTTACTCTAGTCGGATCTTGTCCGTGTGTCTAAATCTCCTGTTATGTCACGGTGTCTTAATTTTAATTGAGTGACGGTTTACATTGTAGCCGAGTGCTACGTCTGGAAAAATCTCTCCACTGCTTCAGCTGTGGGATAAAACACTAGTTCATTGAAATGAACACCATCTAGAGTACCTCTGGGGTAGGAGCTTGAAACAGGGTAAACATCGAGGACCAAGAACCCAGCCTTGCACATCGCCCAATTCGCGTAAGCATTGAATAGCTGTACTCTCTAAACAAGATAAATACAAAAACTAAGAATCATCTAGAATAAATTATGACATAACGAACATAGTACGCATCGTCTGATTGGTCAATTCAGTTTCCAGGCGGATGCTTTTTCAGGTTATAGAGCCCCCGTGTAACTAGCTATGTTATAAAAGCAATGGAACGCATTTTTTCCGGGCTCTATAATGTGGGATGGTGGGAAAACATTAGGAAAGCTTACAATTGTAAATCACGAGCCGAGGTTTCTCGTTTTCTCCCAACATCCTGCGTTGCTTTATCACGTTATATAGCCCGAAAAAATGTATTCTGTTGTGAAAATAGAGGTAAATTTTATCAGTCTATTTATCTATTGATCCTGGATTTATCTCTTAACTGATTTACTCTTACATTAGGGGTGAAAAAAGGCGAGAGATGCTTGGGTCAGGGCGGGTTCCTGACCTAGCCCTCCCTCGTTTTTTCACCATTCCGCTACCACAGCGGAGGGTCTCAAAGGAGCGATGGCTTTTACGGCTAAAGGTTAAAATTTTAGCCATTTTACGTCTAACGATTAATATCATTCCATTGCTGTCACCATAATTTTTTTTTTGTTACGGTTAACTTTTTTACGACTATCGGTTACGGCTAGATTTTTTACAATTTTACGACGAACGGTCAACTCCATTGATACCCTATTAGCGCTGTTTACTGTCACACTTCGTTTTACCAACTGAACTCGTGGAACAGGCTGATGTGAAAAAGGGTGGTTCCAGTATCAATGAACCTACCTGCTCGGTGTGAAAACGTCTAAAACAGCCACTGTACAGCTCTCGTTGGTCATGAATGGCAGTAGTGCTCTTCCATATTACAGTTCCTCTGTAGTGGCGCTTTAACACACTTATAAATCCATTAATCACTTTTTGATAATTGTAAAAACTTGCGCTCTTCAAGAGGTGCACACCCGCATTCAGAATAAGAGCGCTGTCTTGGTTCATGTCAGAGCGCGTGACAACGTTTTGCAGCTCGTAAAGGATCCTGGGAATGTTAATGGGCTTCCTGCCAAACATCAAGTTCATTTCTTCTTTAGCGCTCTGTGTTAATACATACACCCATAACATCGTGTGGTAGCAGGCACGGAAGACTTGCCAGCAAAGCGGTCGTTTTAGAATAGACTCGTAAAAGTAGCGATTGAGAGAGTCGCCATAGACCCACAATACTCCACGGCCTTGTTGGTGTCCAGATCTCCCGAGACTTAAAGGAAAGCCTGGGAATGTGAAAGGGATATTTTAAATAATATCAAAATAATTGTTAGGCCTAAAGTTAGAGACTTATTGCATGGCTACACAGTCAAGCGCCACCGAAGCGATAAAGGAAAATGTCTGGTCTAGCCTATAGTGCTGTCCGCTTTGCATAGGTCTGTGACAGCTTTGAAGTTTTTTTTTTTAACCCAAACAGGCCATTATATGCAATTGAGTGTATTGATATACATGACTTAAACATTGTCCAACTGGAGAACGAAACGAAGTACAACACATGTTTTTTTTCGTTGAATGCCCTCGAATAGAATCCGGCGTCTATGTGATAACTCAGGGGTCCATCTTTAAGAAACGTAAGGGAGTCGTAGGTACCTTTCCCGTACTCACTCTAAATCAGAGGATGATAGATCTTGAGAGAGAGTTTGTATCATACTAAACATGTTTGACACAAGAATCGTCAGAACACCTGCCTGGTTGATATGCCCTCCACTGCTCACCGATCCATGACCCATATCCGTCAACTAAAAGATTACATTTCTCTTTGCAGGCTGTTTGGCTTACTGCTTTAAATGCGTTAATCTCTGCAAAAAAGGTAGGGAGGTGATTTGTGTATCAGGTATGTTACCTAACTGAAATATGAACTCTTTGATTTTAACTCTCTCACAGAACATAATATAGAGAATATATTGACGCAAGCTACGTTTAACATCGGGCAAACATTACTTACCTGAGCAGATATTTTTTTGCAAGCATACCCTCTCCTTGGAGTAAAGGTCATCCGGTGAATTATAACTTTTAGCCCAGACAAACAAATTTTGCTCATGCTTGCGTGTGTGATACTAATGAGAAAATATTTGTTTTGTCAAAATACTTATTTTATGCCAGAAATAACGAGGCGTCTTGGTGAGAAGAGGTCGCTCGTAAGGGTGCGCCTTACACAACATGTTCTTTGGAGATCTTACCGTCAAATCAAACTTTGAATCAATGTATCAAACTGAAACTCCAATATTCATATTATTTTTGCAACCTCTTTAGAATCATCCTCATGGTTACACAATCATTGCATCTTCTCACCCTTGGCTATGATCATCGAAGATGTACGAACAGTGAAAGTAATTTGTTCGCCTCCTAGGCGCTCCTGCAAGAAATCATGCGTTCTGTTACCCAGACTCCCATGTGGCTGGAATGAACCGTGTCGACAACCTGGGGAGAGAGAGACATACACTGAGGTTTTGAAATGGGTTTGTTAGGCTGGGCAGCAAAAAGAATCTTTTTCTGTGCCCGTACATTATCAAGGGCAGCAGCGTCGCTAGGCAGCGAGACGTAACCCAACATGAAGAAGCCTGATTAAAGAAGTGTTTGAACGTTATCAGAACTCAAAACAGCTGTCACTTTTCGTAAAACTCAGTGTCGAGAACCGTGAACTATGGATCAGGGAGTCTGCCACGATGCCTGAATCAATGCAATGGGATCATGTGTTAAGCATCCATCACCCTGCCAGTATTTTTGAATCCATTACTCTTTATCTAGACTACTCCTGTTTCAGTGTATTATTGATATACAGCGCCGGATAATTTCAAATTTGAATATAAGGGCTATTTTAGAGAATGCCAATACCTTTGATTTTAGCTATCGATGTGTTTTTCATTACCTCTCATAAACCAATCCACAGGTGGATCTTTGAATCCCTTACATAACGAATAATCCAATGTTATCTCCGCCCTGTAGAGCCCAGGCTCCTCTGGCAAAAACACGGCTTCGTATACCCCATTGTTTTTGTCGTACACCGTAGCGACCATGTTGGACGGTCCCCGAATGTCAACACGCCAAGAATCCCCACCAATTGTTTTATTTTCGTTTTTCACCGAAACCGACTGTATGTAAATCTTGCTGAAGAATCCTGCAGGTTTTATATCCAATTGTTTGACGTAGCTTTTGCTAGCCCTTGTTTGAAGCGTTTTGTCCAGCGGTTTTGTATCCCAAGGCACCTGTTTTAGGCAATGACCAATCATATTTTTCCAGTCGTACCTACGCATGCGCACTTGGCACCAGGCAAATTTGAAATCGATCACATTATTTCTGTAGTTTAACCTTTCATTTTCGGAGAGTCTTTCAGCGTTACAGCACAATATAAAAATGATAAAGATGAGTATTGACAGTGTTGTCATTATGTAAAATAGGCAATGCCAAGACAAGAGACATTTCCAATATCCTTGACGCACACGTTTACACTAAAATGGGAGCCATTGAATTCAGAAAGCCGAACGATATCGAGTCTTTATCTTCAATGCAGTCCACATACACAGTTTCAGAGATACCTGCAAAATCAAAAGAATACAATTTCTTCACATCTGGTTCTCTTACTACAATGCGGAATATTAATTCATTTCCAAGCCTCCTCGATTATGAACTGGCCAGCTCTTCTCAAACAAAACAATGGTCTGTTGATTCTGTTGCTTTTCGATAGACATATTCTATATTTTACTTTTGGATATATGGTTTAATTCTCAATAGCTGTCAGTATTTTATCGTTTCAATCTCAATTTTTTCATTCCCCTGGGCAAATGTTATATTCTCTAAACTAAAAAAATTCTCATTGCCAAGAAAAGAAAGGGCAGGAATAAAACACCTCAATTCATCGGATAATTCTCAGAAGCTATAGGTGAGTAACCGGAAATTCTCCAAAGTTACATGGAGAATAATACATGGTATAATGTTTTGAGGATTTACAAATCGATCTTATTTTGGGCGGGGCAAGTGAGAAACGTACTAACTAAAAAACTGGTTTTCTTTTCTGAACTTTCATCGTTTGATTGAATTTCCAATATTATCTGAAGAAAATGTAGCATATCTTATTTCTAAACGCTAATTGAACTACTTCCAAAGCAGAATTTTCCGTCATAACACCAATAGCAGGTCGGTACGTTTCAGCGGGTGCTGCTTCGACGATGTATTCCCCATCTTGAAAACACACTTGTTATTTGTTTCCCTGCAGATATATAGTGCACATCACAAACAACCTATTGATACTGTTATCCGTATAACTGCTCCCATCAAAATTCAAACGATTTTTATTAAAAATATTTACCCCACTGTTCACAATGGACATACAAATCACAGCGGTTATCATGAACATTGATTTGAACATTACAGAACCCCCCCCCCCTCAGGAACTAAATTCAGTTCAGACTAAACTGGTGGGTACTTACAGCTTTTCAACAATGGGCCAAGAGATCTTAACTGTGGTGTGGTTGATGTTGGAGTTACCTAGACTTGTTTCAGACAAAAGCGTTGTCATTGAGAGGTTACCCATATCATCCTATCCTATTTATTTATTTTTCATTGCTTAGCGCACTTGAACAATAGCATCACATGCAAATTCGTGACACGGAACAGGTCAAACTTCATGCACTTCTACACAGGTATCATTAATTTTCTCCTTCATTAATCTTCGCGCCATTTTGATGGGGGACTGGTATTTATTCTTTTGGCAAAATAAACCTTAGCTAGTGAAAACTAACGAATCTTAGCGTTGCATCATTTACTTCGTCCCCTAGGCCTGATTTCGAGAGATATTTATATTCTATTTTTCGAAAAAATGGGTAAGGACACACGGTCATAAAATACGATTCTTTTGAGAAGGGGTGCAATTGTTTTTAAAATTTTCTCACACTTTTTTTTTTCGCGCAAAAATATCGCTGATAAAATGAATTCTACTGAAATGTCTTAAAAAGGCAATAACTGGACTAGAACGCACCAGCACATTACACGTATTCGGGAAAACTCTTGAGCAACAAACGGTGCGACAGTAGTGAAGGAGTGAAAAAGCGAGGGAGGTCTGGGTTTGGTCGGGTTGATTCGGGTCGGATCTGGTCGGGTCGGGTCGGGTCGGGTTGGCTCGATCGTTTGACCCTTCAACTCCCAGAAGTGATTAACATGAAATTTCTTCCAATAATATCCCGCATACGCTATTCATGAAATAAGTAACAAGAATACTCAAACTCATCAGGAAGTTGTTATCTGAACTAGCTCCAAATTCTCGTAACTAATTTACAAGGAAATCTGTAGTAGCTAGCTGAAAGAATTAACGATCAGATCTTAGTGGTTAAATAGTTAACCAATTGAACACCTGAAACAGGCTGGCATAGAAACTCTTTGATCCATAAAGTTAGACGACCGGACTCCTGCTTTGAATTGGCTCCCCTGTGGATGTCCCTGTTTTGAGGTTCTGCTGCGGGACCAACTGCATTATTAGTACACCGTATTATTCCCCTCATCTTGTCTCTGAAGTTATGGTTGAGTAGAGCATACACAAAGGGGTTGACAGCGGAATTGAAGAGAACCGTTACATTAGAGATGGCGACCACCTCGTGACTCATTTTGTAGGACGTAAAACGTGATAAGGTGTAAAGCACTTGGATCGTTCCCCAACAGATTGAAAAGGTGACAGTGATTGTGACAACCATCAAAGTAACTCGCTTCCGTATCTTCAATGCTCCCTGTGGTTTAAAAAATGTGTAGTTATAATAATAATAATAATAATAATAATAATAATAATAATAACGTTAATGATAAAATAACATTGGGATGGGGTTTAGCAGTCGGCATTCCATGCAGTGGCTTTTCCTGTCTTCTTTTTCTAGGTTGAATTAGAATTTAGAATGTTGGTTTTTTGTGAGGGGACCCGGAGAAAAACCCTCACAGCAGGGGCAAGAACTATCAAACAACTCAAACTCGCACGTGACACCGGGTTTGGGAATCGAACCCGGGCCGCATCGGTGGGAGGCGAGCGATCTCACCACTGCGCCATCCCCGGCGCAGTAGCGCAGTGGTGCAGTGGTGCAGTGGTGCAGTGGTGCAGCGGTGCAGCGGTGCAGCGGTGCAGTGGTGCAGTGGTGCAGTGGTGCAGCGGTGCAGTAGCGTAGTGGCACAGTAGCGCAGTAGCGCAATGGCACAATGGTGCAGTGGGGTAGTGGTGAGATCCTTAAAAGGATTCTCTCTAAGTTCCTAACAATAAATTTTTAGCTTCTCCCCATGGCTGGTGCTGCATGGCGATAAAATCAGATTTTCTATATATCTTATCAATAGCATGCAATAGAAGTAAGCTATGTATAACTTTTCTATTATTATCCAACTGAACTAAATAGGGTACACACATTAATGACGGCGGTGCGAATCGATTACAAGTATCATGCAATATTTGGACAGTTGGTAATTTTTTACTGTAAAAAGAAAAACTGTTAAACCAGTCGGCCGCGCCTGCTACACTTCTCTACCTGCTTCAGTTTTGCTGCCTTATAAAAAATGCCTTTGATTCACCTACGGGCTCGTCAAATACGTCACAATTCGTTAAAGCGCACCTAAACCCCCAAATTTTTTTCACTTAACGAAATGAGCTTATTTTTTGGAGTATTTCTGTGCAAAAATCTTTTAATTTACTCAAATCTTTAATTTTCTGTGCCCAGCCAAAATACGGAAAATCGGCCGCCATCTTGCCCCTCGACCGAGTTTAAAGAGGAATGGCTCTAGCGGGTAATGTGACGTCAAATCGAGAACACGAAAGTCTGCATTTCACACATTTTCACCAAACTACTAACACTTACTCTTTGTTGGGGTGTGACTTGCTGTGTAATATTCCGCGACTTCACCCATAAGGTGTACAAGACTATAGAGTACAACACGAGCACGACAAACATTGGCCCAAATACAGTTACCACGTTGACATAAATATTATACGCCTCAACCATCCACTCTGCGGGCAAATTCTCCATACACTTATTGTTTTTGCTCACTTCCATGGCATAGAATGTTGGGAAATTGCTAATCGCCGCGCAGAACCAAGCAACAGCTATAATCACCTGGAATGATAAATGTGTTGAATGATAATGTGTTAAGGTTACCTCGACGTGCCGTTACCATTACAGTGCCTTGCTATGAAGCCTGAAACACAGAATGAAATTCTATCAATTTAAAGATTATCGTAAACCTTTGATTGCCAGCGAACATTGTGAGCCAGTTTGTTATCTTGAGCTTGATGGATGTGGATTCAGTAAGCAATTGTTCTATTTGAAAACGTCACGTAAAAGAACAGTAGTTCGTAATGATAAAAAACGGCGACATGACGCGGGGAGATTTACTCAAACTAACGTGGTCAGTTTACGAGTTAGAATGCTCATTCTGCCGGAGTAAATCTCGTTTTCAGAGAAATAAAGCCGTGACTAGAAATATTGCTTTTCTTCTCCTGACCAGATGCCGGTTCATAACCCCCTCACTTCACACCCAAAATCATTACTACTGATAAGGCCACGCCGTGTCCCGCGTCCAAACTGCATGAGATTAACATAGTCATGCCCCTGATGAGGCGCGTTATTACAATTTTTTTTAGATACAAACCTTCCCTTTACGGACTGTAAGGTTCCATTTGTTGCCGTTTGGGCGCAAAATAGTGAGATATCGTTCGATGGATATCGAAACCAGAGTATATATTGAGCAAGTCCCTGCAACCCAACCAATAGCTCCCGCTGTGATCAGTTTGCATAAAACTGCACCAGCCATCCCCTCTGGGTGAGTCAGATTAAGGCTCACAATGAGCTTTGGTGTGATGAACACGGCAAAGAGAGCATCTGCCACAGCCAGGTTGGAAATAAGAAAGTTCATTGGGGTCCTGCAATATGAAAAAAAGGTGATGTTATTAATTGCATCCTGTCGACAGGCAATTGAAAATTGCTTTAAACAAGGACCCTGACTATAAAAGGATTTTTGCCCTGGGCAAGCCGTCAGTCATTTCACCACTGACACCGAACTGTCGACATCAACCAGTCCGTGACCGTGCGATATCGGGTTAAAAAGTTTTAAAGAGTTCCCTTTTACCTAACAAATCTTGCGTGACCAGAAAAAACAAGCGCGCGCGGAAAAATAGTCTTTGCGTTTGCTCACGTCAGCAGCGTACACCCATGGGCAAATGGGGGACGCTAAATTGACCAATCAGAGCGCGCGCTTTACTTTGGTTATGTTATAACAGAATTGGTCACCCACCATATTAAAAAGTAATCAAATGGTTTTCTCGTGAAATTAGGAAATAATTTCGCTTGCTTTTTGTCAAAATTCTGATAATTTCCCGAGCCTTTAGGCGAGGGAAATTATCAGAATTTTGACAAAACGCGCGTGAAATTATTTCCTAATTTCACTCGTCGCCATTTGATTACACATACTTATCATCGACTCAATTAATACAGCCAAATTATCTTGTAATACCCCACGGACGTAGCTCCACAGTTTATCTGGAAACTTAGCCACCCTCTTTATCTCATTACAATAATTGCCTCGTTGAGCAAATAATAAATAAGTTTTAAATCTTTCTCCTTGCATATTTGAATTAATCAATTACAGTAACTGAATTGAAATCGATTTTGCAAAACAGCAACAAAATCTCAAAGGCGTGTAGATAATTATAAGTCTTGTTGTAAGGATAGAACAGCTGAAATGTTACTTTAGTATCATTTCAGAGCTGAGCCAAGAGTTTCCAGCAATCTGATTGGTCGAGAGGTTCCTTATATGACGCTATATAAACCGCTCCACGCGGTTTATATAAAATGTTAAAATAAAATGTTAATAAATGTTACTAAAATGTTATGATTTTTGAAATTTCTCTGTTGTTCAGCTCTGAAATTATGCTAAAACAATTATTCGCCTCAGGCTCGGTGAATATTGTCGAATAATCCCCTCGACTTCGTCTCGGGGATTATTCGACGATATTCACCTCGCCTTCGGCGAATAATTGCTAAATAAAAGTTGTTGTGGTCTTGTCGGGAACCGTGAACAATGCCTTAATTCGTTTAGTTGTTATTGTTCTCTGTTGCGTATGACCGGAATCTTAGTCGATTGCCGAACTCGTCCTTGTGACTCTGAATTTTATTTTATTTTTTTATTTTATTTATAAGCTTTGCCAAAAACAATTTGGCAGGAGAGATCTCACAGAGCTAACGTTCCATTAACGAGACTCCTACACAATCAAAAAGAAATATAAAAAAAAAAAACAATTACAATTTATTAAACCCTACTGACCCGTATCTCTTGGAGAGTCTACAGTTATTAGTCTAACATTCTTTATCGTTTCATGGACACGATTAAGTTTAAAGAAATTAAGAAGACAGATAAGAAAATGCTGAGCCACTTACCTTAACGGTAATGCTTTTTTTCTCTTGTTTATCCTCTTCCCGTAACAACATTTGATGTACCAACTAGAACTACAACTACAATCACGAGCTGTGGGGAATCAAAATATACCGATGTATTGGAATCATTGTTACACGTTCGCAATATCGATAACATATTGCAGATATTGGAAACCTTGAACCTTGAACACGAGTTGCAACTATCTATGAAAGAAGAAAAATCCAATTTTAAAAAAAATTTAAAAACATACTTTTATTTCAGCAGCACACATTCTCGAGAGAGGCTCTCTTTTTCTTTTGGAACAAAGTATCAAGGAAGGGAACACTGAGGTTTGCGGTACGCAATATTGGACAATTGTTTGTTCCGGTATTTCCTCGATTTTGATATCAAATTTATATCCGAAACGGGATTTTTTTTTCCTATTTTTTTTTCGCACGGTGTGCATTTTGGACGGTATCAAAAATTATCCTCCGAGTCTTCCACCGTTTTTTGAGCCTTTTCCAGTTTCCGATTGGTCGGAAACAGGCTGAAATTGACAATTACTTGACGTAACGTTCATTAACAAAATTGAAAAATGCTTTAGACGTAATATACTGAATAATGAGTCGACACGTCGAGTGTCGACTCATTCAGTTTTGCGTTATTTGGCGATTATTTTTTTAGCAATATTGTGGCGTTTGCCGAAACTTGGCGGTATTGCCGTGTTCAGAGCCCCTAATTTTTATTTTTTGGACACTAGTGGCTGATTTTGGAATCAAACGTTAGTGGCCCATTTTGGAATTTGGACACTAGTGGCCAATTTCCGATTTTGAACACTAGTGGTCGTTTTTTATTTGGACACTAGTGGCCGATTTGGGATTTTGGACACTAGTAGCCGATTTCGGTATTTGGACACCAGTGGCTGATTTCGGTGTTTGGACATCAGTGGCCAATTTGGACACTAGTTACCGTTTGGGATTTTGGACACCAGTGCTCGATTTGGATTTTGGACACCAGAGGCCGATTTGGGATTTTGGACACTGGTGGCCGATTTCTAATTATGGACACTGGAGACTTATTTGGGATTTTAGACACTAGTGGCCGATCGATTTGGGATTTTTGGACACTGGTGGCCGATTTTGGATGTTGGACATTAGCCGGACCGGTTTGGGATTTTTGAACACCAGTGGCCAATTTGGGATTTTGGACACTGGTGGCTGATTTTCGATTTTAGACACAAGTGGCTGATTTTGGATCGGACACTAGCGCTAATGTCCAATCTAAAATCAGCCACTAGCCTACATTAGTAGCCGATTTGGGATTTTGGACACCAGTGGCCAATTTGGGATTTTGGACACTAATGGCTGATTTTCGATTTTAGCCACTAGCGGCTGATTTTATATTTTGGATACTAGTGGCTTACAACTCGGAATGCCTTTTTGTGTGAAAGAAAGGACTCACAAAATTTGAATTGCTGTTAAATAGGAAAATTATTTGTAATAACTGGCAAAATTAAAATGAGAAGAAACCTAGTTGAATGTCATTTAGTCACTACATATTCTTGAATCATCTTCATCTTGTGGAACTCACAATATGTTTTTGCAATTCAGACCTTTTTCCGATTTGTCATTCCCCATTTGAATATTGTTATGCTGTCGGTTTTGCTCCCAGATTCCCGTTCCCAGACTTCTGTTCCTGGTTGTTCTTTTCGTGTTCTTCGTTCCCCGTTCCACATCGTAATAACGTCCAGCTTCTGTAGGTATACCTTTGAAGCTTAAATTGGAGGAAGATTCAATTAGTTCAGACTTACCATGTTGGCAGAAAGAACGTTTGAAATCGCTGAAACGTCACAGAGAACCACGCAAAAACTAAAACATTCTTCTGCTTTCGGAGCGCCCTTCTAACACGCGTTGGGGACTGGCTCTAGACAAGGAACCAATCAAACCCTTCGTAAGAATGGAAGCAAAGTTTGAATTAGTATACAGCCGGACATGATCCTACTAAGTACTCGTACGATGCGAAATGGTATTTCAGGTACTATTATTATCGATTTTACGTTTTTGTCACCTTTGTTTGAGGAATGTTACTTAGTGTGTCTGTTATTGAATTACTTTGCTAACTAATGGCGTTATTTTAGCGTTCTCCAGTTCGAAGACACGATTTTGACAGCTCGGACGACGACGAGGACAACGGTGGTGTTGAAGATCTTTCACCTTTCCAAGTTGACTGGTAAGGAGAACATTATGAACCCTGCGGAGGACAACTTTGTAGTCTTAACCAGTCACAGTTAGTTTATGTCTTGCAAGTTACTTTCGACTTGATAGCTCATACAACTGTACCTTGATTTCTCGTTAAACTCTCTTCGTAAGCTCACTAAATTTGCGACTTTCACAAATCATTTTCACTTTCATGATAAATCGTATGTCCAACACTTTTAATTTTAATTTTTTTTGCACACTCACTCTTTAACATTATTTGTCTTAAATGAAGATTGATTTGTACATTTGATTAAAGGATCGATCTCTCGTTCACTGGATGCTGTGCAGAAGTTGTTGGTATCAGTGGATTGCCAGGTGAAGTTTAAAATTGAACTTATTAATATTTGGAGGCTAGTGTTATGCATCTGCAAACAGAAGGTGGTCTGAAAGCATTAGTCTTTACTGTTCTTCAGATTCTACAGAGCGTCCAATTTTTTGGCCGAGACTTGACGCTAAAGTTTATAGCTCTTCTAAATAAATGTCTCTTCTTTGAATAATCATTTAGCCTTTTTCTATGTTGGTTAAATTTTTGCAGTAACTAACTCAACTTTTTTCTTTCCAGGTTGTAGATATCGTGGAACAAACAGAAATTTAACATTCGATATAGGTATGACTATCATTTGGTGCCTTCATTATCAGGGCTTGACACTAACTTTTCAACTTACTGGCCAAGTGGCTATAGTGACATCTTAAATAATACGACGATTTCAGTTTGTTTACTAGCCACACTGGCTAGTGGAAATCGAAAACCACTATCCAAAACAGAATTTCTACTAGCCTGTGGCTAGTAGGCTACCGTTAGTGTTGAGTCCTGATCATGAGTTGAAATCAAACCAGACATAGCTTTTTATTTATTTATTTATTTTCTCAACTTTATACAGATCCTAACATAATATACAAATTGAAGATAAATTAACAACTAATAAAAAAAGAAAAAAAAATTCGCAAGATCTGAATAATTAGGTCAGTTTATACAGAATTCGAAGATTCCTCATAAAAATAAACTGCCTCAATTAAAAGTAAAAAAATGTCACGTATACTATATTGCATAGTTGCTCAAATAGTTTAATTAACATTTAACATGACAATAATTATTAATTAATTATAAAAATCTATCCTTATTTGCATTAAATTTGTTATAATAAAATTTATTAATACTGTTCTTAAATGATGAGAAAGATTCAATCATTCTAATGTGTAGTGGAAGGCAATTCCACAGGTCTACAATACGATTAATTAAAAAAAGAAAACTAATTAAACATCAGTTCTAAAAGGGCCTTTCCCTAGTGTAGCTTCACTACAGATGTTATATTTGGGTGTCTTAAAATTTACATATGAAAAAACATTAAAATCAATATAACCTTCAAGGCATTTAAAGAAAAAGCAAAGATCCAATAGCTCTCTTCTATATTCTAAAGGTAAAAGTTTCAGTTTAACAAGTCTCTCAGATAACTTAAGTCAGTTTTCAGGATAAATTTTGTTGCACGTCTTTGTACAGGCTCAATTGCAGTGATCTTTTCTTTAGTGTAAGGTGACCAGACCTGTGACGCGTACTCTAACTGTGATCAAACAAGTGATTTGTATAAAATTAAATTGTTTTCAAATCACACTTACTGGTACATGTTCTTTTGATCATGCCCACCATCTTGTTGGCCTTACTGATAATAACGTCAATGTGATAATTCCAAGACAACTTGGTGGAAACATGTATGCTAAGGTCTTTCTCAGTTGTAACTGACAAAATCTGTGAGCCATTAAGTGTATAGGTTGAATCCACAATATTCTTTTTTCCTTGTAATTACAAGATGTTTGCATTTCCTTGAATTAAACTCCATGAAAGGATCAGGTGACCAATCATTTACATTTGACAGATCACTTTGTAGTTGTTGAACATCATTGTTATCATCAATGATTCTGAAGCATTTCATATCATCAGCGTACAGTTGTACAGCTTGAAATAATTTTTGCAACCTTGTTGTTTATACAGCCCAGTTAAAAGATATGAACATCACAGATGTGTTTGTGTTCTGCTCCAGTAATGAGATGGCCAGGTAATCTGCTCTGATAACAAAACAGAGAACATGAACTTAAATGAGTCATAAATTTACTTTACAGTTTTACTTGTACCCACTGGAATTGTGATTTTCCAGCCTTGGTGATGGGAATAGTACTTCTGTACCCTCTCTGTGGGTGTGGCCTACATTTCTATGTAATTTGAAATCAAATTATATCAACAAAGTTGAACAAAGGCTCATCTTTCAAACTGGCAGTCTAAATCCCACAGGTATCAAGGAACGCTTTTTATTCCACTAATTTATTCGTGTTTTTCTCGTTGCCATGTTCCCACCAATCACATAGCTCCATTTTCTACCTTTAAAAGCACTCACAACCCACAATTCCTCTATTCGCTCCAAAGGGCTAACGCTCAAAATGTCAGCTTTTAGAACCGTAACGGTGGCCAATTTACCATTTCAACTTTGTCGATATATTAAAATTATTTTGTTACCCCCACCGATGCAGCGCCAAACAGTTTCTTTAGAAACTATCAGCCTTTCTACATTTCTATGACCTCCTTTACCCCAGAATTGACAATCAGTAATTGGAGTACCATGTATTGCCTTTTTAGATGCAGAGTTCCTACTCTCCTAGATGAGTACAGCTGGGCTGGATTTGAAGTTCATCATTTTCCAGTTGATGTAGGAGGTGTTCCAACAATGGATAAATGTAGCAGTATCATTGAGCAGTTAAGGCAGTGTATTAGTTATGGACATAAGACAGTTTTACAGTAAGTATTATATTAGATGAAAGCAATTATTGTTAAGAGTGTGTTAGTTATTAGTCAATCTCTTATTTTTTTTTTTTGTGCCCAAAAGTGTTTAAGTGTTGCAGGCTGGAATAAATGAATTGAAATCATCTTTTTCGGCTGTATTATCTAGTAACTGCTTTTGTATGCACTAAAACAATTATTTACCCCAGTTTCAGTGAGTAGAGGTGGATATTTACCTCACTTTATTTCTGAGTACTGATTTTAAGGTCAAGAACTTAAATCCAAATTCTAGTCATTTTTATAAAATTATGATAAAGTGTTATGATTTCAATTTTAATGCCAATCTCCTGCTCTTTATAGCTGTGTATCTGGATTAGGGATTTCTTGTTTAGGTGAGTCTCATGTGATGATTTACAAATTTCTACCTTTAGCCACTGGTTTTATGTTACAACTCACTTCACTTGAGATAGTCTAATGGAAACAGATTTGAAAATAGTTAAGGAGATGGTAACTTTTGTATCAGATGTTTTTTTTTTTTTTTAATTTAATAGAAAATTCCAATGTTGATGTTGATGCTGAGATTTCTTGGTTCCTGTCTTTATTATTAATAGTGATTATTCGTCTTGGCAAACCCACAGTAATAGACACTAAACAAGATTTTTAGTAGTTAGAAAATGCATCGGTAGCTTTCAAAACCACTGATGAATGCATTTTTTGCTTTTCTGTATCAGTGGCAGCTTTCTTGTTGTTAAGTTTGGATGAGACTCTGTCCCCTGATCATGTGATATCCAAGTTGCGACAAATCAGAGGTCAGAGAGCATTTCAAACGATCAAGGTATGTTCTTCCCCATTACTGAACCCTCCTGTGTCAGTGTTGACTGGCATAAATCTTGAGCTCAATTGAGTTTCACTGAGTGTAATGTTTGCTCATATTTTGTAATGTTGAAACCAAAAATGCAAATGGGGGGACAGGGCTCGACACTAACAGTAGCCCACTAGCCACAGACTAGTAGAAATTCAGTTTTGGCTAGTGGTTTTCAATTTCCACCAGCCAGTTTGGCTAGTAAACAGACTGAAATTGTAAGTTGTAACATCTAAAAACATCTAAGATGTCACTAGCCACTTGGCTAGTAAGTTGAAAAGTTAGTGTCAAGCCCTGGGGGGAGATTTTTTACTTTTGTATCAGGCAACTCTCTAATCAGCCTGCATTGCTGCTTTACCCAAGCCCTATACATATCCCCTATGGTGTCAACTCAACCCTTCTCCCACCAATCAGGCAGCTGATGTGAGGCTCCATCTGCCAAAGATTCAAATTGGTTGTGTGATGAAATCCCAGTAAACCATGGCTCATGTGATGATGGTAAAAAAATGACAAAGTATAAACGCTCAAGTTTGTCAGTGTAGGCATCACAAACTCTCCTTTTTCAATGATATGTTACAACTTGTGGGTGTGGCTTTAAGGGGGGTTTTTAAGAGCACTTTCAAGCGTGTTCAAATGCTAGACATAACCTTATTTAATGTTTTCTTTTGGTGTTGGCTTTCTCTCAGCAATATAACTTTGTCCACGAGTTCAGAGACTTGCACAAAGCACATGTTGAAAATCAGCGGAATTCTGCAGAAGCTGCACCAAGATCGCTTTCAAGATGAAAGGAAAGTAAATATTGAATAATAATACGTTGCATAATTAGGAGTTTTAAACAGAAATTTTCTGAAAGTTTTAAATACAGTGTTGTCTTGTTATCTTGTCTAAATAATTAACAATTATTCACCGAAGGCGAGGTGAGTATCTTTGAATAATCCCTAAGACGAGGTCGAGGGGATTGTTCGACAGTATTCACTGAACCTGAGGCAAATAAAAGTTTTAGTATAATTTCAGAGCTGAACAACAGAGAAATTTCTAAAATCATAACATTTTAGTAACATTTATTAACATTTTATTTTAACATTATAATAATAATAATAATAAGTAAGATCTTTTGACAGGGAGCCCACGTCACAAAGTGTGGTTTTCAGTGAGGCCCTGCATAAATCTAACGTAAGGATAACAGAAAATATAAATATGGTTATCAAGAAAAGGATAAAAGGGCATAAACAATAGAAGAGACTACATATTTTTAACAAGACGTCTAAAAACTGAAAAATCGGAAACGTTCCTAATGCCGTCTGGGAGAGCGTTCCAGTCATCTACTACATGACAAACAAACCGCGTGGAGCGGTTTATTTAGCGTCATATAAGGAACCTCTCGACCAATCAGATTGCTGGAAACTCTTTGCTCAGCTCTGAAATTATACTTATTCGTGATAGAACATTTTTCGATTTAGAGTCGAAAGTAATCCGGAATTACGGTAGTTTTGCTTATTTCTGCTCTGTGATTGGTCCAAAAAAACTTGCACCTCGTCTCAACCAATCAGATACAAAGATAGAACCAACCGCACTTTGATCACGCGCGTTTTCCCGCGCTTCAGGTAGTTTGCTTGGGCCAGGAGTCGCTCAAGTATTTCCCACACTTGAAGCCTTTGGTATGTGTTTGCTTTGAGTTCTCGTTGGTTCGTTGTGAAGTATTAATTACTTTGGTTTCGGCTGTGATTGATACTCATTCGAAAAAAGGCTCTATCCAACAGTACTCTGTTAATGCCTCAAACCGTTGGTCGTTTCAGTGAAATTTGTTACGTTTAATTTAAGGTAAACATTAGTTAAGAACAGTATTATAACCTCTTAAATGTTAATGAAGTAATTTAAAAACTTACACGAGACAATGCTTGACGTAACGATTGTTTGAAAATGAATATAAACCAATATAGTTTTTGTATTCGTTAGTTAGACTTGAGACAGACCCTCCTTTTCGGCAAAGGAAGTAAATTGTTGTGTTACGTGTTTTGAAACGCTACGTTTGAAGTTTGATTTCTTAGTATATATGTTGAACGACCTATGCACGAAATGCCCTGTTCTGCTTAGCCTGACAGCATTATGAACAGGAAGGAAATAGGGGACAATCAGTTTGACGTGTTTTAAACTAGTTTCTCGCACACAAATTAACGGTTATCGTTACTAATAAAGTTGAAGTAGTTTTTAAGCACTTAAAAGGTCGTTAGTTGAACCGAATGTAAGTAGCACAATATCTAATAAAACATATGGGAACAGATGTGTAGTTCAGTTAAGTTAATCTGCTGTGTGGCTGGCTAGATCATGTGATTCGAACTGAATAACATGTCATATTAAAACACTGTCAAATGAGATTCAATAGAGTTTCGAAATTTTTCCAAACTAATCCAAGATACAATTGGCTTTGGTTTCCTGCGTTTCTTGATTGGTACAGATAATTCACGCCACCTCAACCAATCACAATCGCAAAACTAAAACTAAACGCGTCTTGATCACGCGCCTTTTTCCCGCGCTCCAGGCAATCTTCGTTTCTCATTGGCTATCTGAGGTGTTTTCCTTCGCTGCGATTGTTAACTTTGTTTTTGATTTTACTGTCGGCACTCCATCTAAAACTGTCATATATGAGCATTGTTTTAGCGCCTTTTTGCATTTTGATTTGCCAAGAAATCCCGCGTCTTCTTCTGAGCTAGCCAAATACAACGCGAGTGCCAATCACTACTTATGTTTTCCAGCGTTTGAGTTTGATTAATGAGTACTAATTAATTATTTGGAATACCAACCACTATTGTAATAAAGGGGGAATGTTTTTAGAGAAACTGTGGTGCTGCGTCAGTGGTGGTAACAAGGTAATTTAATTTGCAATTTAAAGTCACAGTCGCAGTCGAAAGCTCGTAGTTTTTTAATCATTTTAGCCAGATATCGTTTTTAAATTTCAACTATCCTTCATCCTGGCTGCGGCCCTTCAATATTTTCAAGGTAATTTAAGATTTATTGACTGAGTCGATAATGTAATTTGGACACCGTAAAGAATTTCAAAGCTGACGTTTCGAGCGTTAGCGTTTGCCGAAAATTCAGCTTTGAAACTCTTTACGATGGCCAAATGACATTACCAACTCAGTTGATAAAACCCAAATTACTTCGTTGTTATAGTTTATCTCATCGACTCGTTGTTAATTAAGTCATTGTTAGCCTGTCACTATTTTCTTTTGAACTTCCCGACCTAATTAAGGCGAGAAAAATACTTCTCACGAATCTATTAGTTTTGCAGACTAGATGATAGAGCTGAGGTTAAACATCTATAATACCTTTATCACTCCACGATTGTCATGTTTATTGGGCCAGGAAAGCAATTTTATCAGGTATGGGTTCGTTCAGTTAGAAGGTTTTAGCCTCTCGTGACAACAGAAGCAGTCGCCAAAGGTTTGAAACTGAAGTGAATGGTAATGAAATGGGAGAGGAGAGAATTGAGCGACAAGACAAAACGGCGAAGGACCACCAAGAATGCGCTTCCGCCAATCAACAAGAGAACTCTCCGCCGCCGAGAGTGCGGCTGTCATTTTCATGGTTAGTGGACACACCAGTGATTTTGACGGGCACTGGGAAAGAGCAGAAAGCAAGGGGGAAAAGTGTACGGAAGGGAAAGAAGAAGCAAACTACAGTTTGAAATACAACGATGGAAAATATCTCAAATCTTTTCAGCACTTCACGGACGTTCCTTCGTCGAAAACGTCCAGTGCACGACAACCAAAGCTGGTAGAGCCACAGTCGCCTGCAGGGAAACAAAGTGGTGAATTCGAGAAGCACCAGGAAAATAAATCAGAGACATTGAACGAAAACCAGGAAAATCCGAACCTTGCAATAAAAGATGTCTTTCCGCCATCAACAAGTGCAGGCTATCGTGTTGGTTTTGGAGTAGATGGAGCTCGTTCAACAGTAAACGATGGAAATTGAAGTTTCAGAAAACTGAGATTACACTTTTAGGGAACAGAAACAAAGGGTAACTCCAGATTTGTATTGCCATGTTCCCACCAATCACGTAGCTCCATTTTCTGCCTTTAAAAGCGCACACAACCCATGCACAATTCCTCTATTCGCTCCGACGAAGGGTTAACGCTCGAAACGTCAGCGTTTATAACCGTAACTGTGGCCAATTTACCATTTCAACTTTGTTGATATATTCAAATTATTTCGTTACCCCCACCGACGCAGCGCCAAACAGTTTCTTTAGAAACTATCAGCCTTTATTCATTTGTATTAACTCGTTTGCTTTCATAAGTATGTTATTTCAGAGGGCAATATAAACTGATCAGCTTTGAAAAATTTGTAACCAGTATCAGATAACTTTGGCAAGCTATCAGGATTGAACTGCTCAAGTTGTCTATCTTATCTGTTCCAAAGTTGCCGAAAGGCTCGACTTTTTATTTGACTTCTGGTTTGATTCCGGTGTTTGCTTTGCTATGGCTAAAATCATTACGTACGCATGTCAATGTATCTGACAGATAACAGACTTCTAACGTGTCGACAAAGATCGACGAAAAATGGAAAAAACACATAATTTCTCTCTTTTATATTTCAGGCACGAAAGTGAAAAAAGAAAATTTTATTCTCAGACTTTCAGTGATTTATGTGCGTAAAGCTTTTAGAAATAGATGTTATTATAGCTGACAATGACTTCACTAGAAATTTTATTGCTAGCAAGGAGTATGAATTAAATGTTTAAAAGCGTTTTTGTCTTTGAGTTCTACTCAGGATAAATGCATTTCGTACACAGTGAACACCAAAGCGACCGCGAAATTTCTCCGCAATTGGGCAATCCAAACTGTTTTCCTCTTGTCAGTTTTTGCATCATAAAAATGTAGTTTGTAGAAAGTCCTTTAATTAACTCCCTAGGAAGTGAAAATATTTCTAGAACCGCCAGAACCTGTGAGATATTGTTTTTTTTTTTTTTTTCTCGCGAATGGGCGATAGCGTAAATTGGTGAGCGGGGAAATAGTAGAACGCCTTGAGTTATTTTTTTCCTCGACCACCGCGCTGCTATATTATTGCACACACCCGAAAAAGAGATCGCCAGATCGCCATTAAAGACCACCAGAATAACCCCTTGAAAATATTATAATAGCTAAAAAGCTCAAGATTGACCGTTAAAAGTAGACTAAGTAAAGTTTAGGGGTCGCATTTTTTTGTTTACTTTTAGTAAGCGGATAATCGAATTTATTTATGTCCATCTTTCTTACCCTCTCTTTGCCAAGCAATAATTTCTCCCTCTTTGGACACAAGTTATGGTCCGTCACGCAACGCATATTGTGTCGCATGACTGACAAAAAGACTACTTTATTGAAAAAGACTTACCTCTCTGATCCCTTGAATTTATCCAACTTCAATTTTCTGGAATTTTCTAGAATATCCTTCCATGTACCTGAGCTCAGTAGAAACAGATGAGAAATTAGTATCGTCACCATGACCGAGCATTACTGGGTTTTTTTGCTGATGACACTTCCGGTAAAACTGCTATAAATGGCATCATCCCGCGAAGTTTGTTTACCTCTGCGAGGGTTTAAAATCTGAAATTTAGTTCGTGGTTGCATCAGATCGTGTGGCAAGGATTTCTCTAGCAAAAGTTCCAAGATGTCCTTGTTTCCCAAATGGCGTATGATTTGGCCAGCTATGCATCGCATTCGGTGAGTATTTCAACCGCTGGTAGATGAATTTCTGTCTTTGCTAGCTGTGACAAAGTTTGATTAATCGTAGAAGATTGCTGGTGCAATTAAAATTTTCAGACGCATCATATTAGTGTAGTCTGGATACATTTTTCCGTAGAAAAACCCACTGTTAAACTAAATCTAAGAATAACTTTACTATCACTAATTTTAAGTTCTTTGGGAAAAAGTTAAACCTCTTTGTCCAACTTAATTATAGACACGCTCCAGAAATTTGGCCAAGCCACGATCGTTTCATTCCGTCCCTATGGGAATCTTTGCATTCTCCTTCGTACAGAAAACCTGTACTTGGCACAAGTTTTACATACATTGAATTTACTGAAAGTGGAGAGGGTGCAGCGAAGAAAGAAACCAAAGATGTAGAGGGTGGCGAAAAGGAATCTGCAAAATCAGCTGAGAAATTCGTGGACGATCGTGAAAGTTTCAAAGTTTCCTTTGATGTGTCCAAGTTCAAGCCAGAAGAGATCACTATTCGCTCAGAAGATGGAGAGTTGTTGGTCGAAGGAAAGCAGGAGGTGAAGAACGAAGAAGGGTACTCGACACGACATTTTGTCCGTTCATATTTTCTTCCCAGGAACATTGACCGCGATTCGTTTCAGTCACGCCTTTCCAAAGAGGGAATCTTGAGCATCGAGGCAAAAAAGTTACAGAAGCCTGAGGCCAAGGATAATTTCATCAAGATCGAGACAGAGCAATAAAACTGGTAGAGAAAGAAACATGCTTCCTTTAATAAGACAAGCAAAATATAAGGCAGGAGATTTACTTTGGAATGCCCTAATGGTTAGCTGGCTTAAAAATATAGTTATAAACTGTTCTCGCTTATCATTTTTATCTAGCCATAGCTTAGAGACGCAAACTTTTTCCGGATTTGCAATAACCAAATGTTTGGATGGTTTTGAATAAAATGGTAAATAATTAAGTTAGCTGAAGGTTTGCCGTTGAAAAAGTGCTGACTCGTCTGGAATGCCTGTGAGGGGTGGGGTCAGAAGTAGTTTTAACTAGCAGCACCCCCTACTTGAAAAATGGCTCTACTAACTGCCAAATAAGTGTAACTGTACACGTGAACCCAACGGCTTTGCGCATATTCCTGAGAGGTACAGTCTTGAACACCCAAGAGTTGGTAGAAATAATAAAAACTCTTGAATTTCCCCAAATATTCTTGTGTTTGGATAAGGCTACACTGTACGGTAACATGGCATAGTCCTCTTTTATGGGTTGCTAAAATAGACAAACTGGAAATAAACTATCAATAACTACTCTGTTGGCAGACATCTTTCATACTTAAATGACTATGATGTAAACTCTAATACTCATACTTGATGTCCACACTTTGGTTGGTTAATGGTGAGAATTTGGTGCCATCTCCAAATGGTACATGTGTATCCCTTGGAGTGGATATTTTTCTTATTTTTATCAATTCACTTTACGAGGGCTGAAATGAGAATTTAAAGGTTCATCACTCCTATATCAACAAGGATTACATAAATATTTTCTGAAGAACTCAGTATTCTTTCTGGAGCAGTGAAAGCAAACACAATGATCAAGAACAATGATTTCATTTCCTTCATTTTTATTTCATTTGAAAAGCTTGAGAAGCAAGAGTTGACTGCAAGCATGTTTCCAAGATGCGCGTATGCTACGTGCACACCTTTCATTGCAAAAACTCAATCTATCCTCTATGTCCACTTTATAGGCTGATGTCCAATTACAGCCACCATGTTTTGTTAGTAGTTATAAATAAATACTTGTCTGTTTATCATAGTGTTTACCTTGAGAGACACAAAATGCACAGTGCTTGAAGTATTAAAATTACTTTTTCCTTGTCATGATCCTAGTAATAATATCATTTGTTGTGAAAATAAAAATTGGTGCTGAGCTATCTAAATTCAAATCCTAACTTAAAATGGACAGGAAAAGCAAACTACAAAAATCCTGAAAATCAACAATTTGGTAGTCATTGCCCACTTGTGCATTAAAACAAATAGTGTATTTTGGACAAATAAGAAACTTTTAAGTCCCATGAAAAGTTTAACTAGATACCCTTAACATGTTCAACTCTTCTGAGATTCTTGAATCAAGGTGTTGCCTGCCTTCTTTTCCAAATGGTGGCATGTGCTACAGTCCACTGGTTTTTACGAGCTGTTTCTCTGATGAAGAAAGGCATAGGCTTGTCTTCGATCAGCTCAAAATTTGGACCCAGGTAACTCTTCAAATTGTCAAATCCTGTGACAATCTTTCCATCTGCATTTTTATAGCCACCAAGCCAAAGGTTCTAAACACAAAAAAATTGATGTATCAAGATATTAATTGTGTTCAGTCACATTCAGGGTTGTCATCAGAAGTTGATAGCTTGGGTTCAACAGCCCTCTGTCAGACAGAAAATAAGTAGTTTGAACTGAATCTAACATTGATGTCTGAAATATGACAAGGAATGATGAAAATCACATTCCCTGGACACCCCCTCCCCCCCAGAAAGGGCATGTTTCCCAGCAAATTTCCATGCTTGATGACAACCCTGGTTCAAAACAGTTATTTTCCATATTTGAATAAGAAGAACTATTATTACACGACTCAGGCAGTCAGAGGGCCAATAACTACAATCAACCAATCAAAATGCTCTATTGCCGGTCAATATTCTCAAAGTAAATGACCGGGCACTATTCCGAATGATACCACACTTGTGTCCCCTTGAACTTCACTCGTATAATAAATCTCTTATTAACCACGCTTACTTGGGACCTTATTGGAGAATATCGGCCCTCGGTCTTTTTTGTATGGACTTCGCTGCACTCGGTCCGTACTGTCAAGACCTCGGGCCGATATTCTCCCAGTACGGCCCTCACACTTGGTTAATAAGATATATGTATTGAATGATGCTACAATACATTATGGTTGCAATGTCACAGACATAATTTAACAGCAGAATTCTTGAAAAGCAAGATCTATAACAAACTTTTTCAAAGAAGGATAAAAATAGGAAATTATACCAATATTTGGGGTGCCAAAGAAATAATGACCACTCTTTGCTATGTGCTTGATGAATCAATAATTTTTCCCATTAATGTTTGTCATTGTATTGAACAGAGATAACTACTCTAGCACTTTTGCTCCCAAGATCTCTTTAGTGATTCTTCATTCTGTCTACCATACATATTTTAGTTCTGAGAATTAAGTATTGAATCAAATGATTATCTCCTAATTCCTATTTTCTATGTTCTCGTCACTTATGTGCTTGATAAAGTATCAATATTGTAAGGAGAAAGTACGTCTTGGTCACTGCTAGGGGGCAAAAGTACGTCTTGGTCACTGCTAGGGGTCAAAAGGGTTCAATCAAACTTTGGAACTTGAAGGTGTGCTTGCCTAGTGGTGAGTTCAAGATCATGAGGTCATCTATTACTGGTAATAGTTTAATCGCAACTTAATGTTCTTATATTTTGTATATTCAAATAGATGTTTAACTAGATGATTATTTTGGAAACACCCTTGATAGGGCTCACCTCTGGTGTCTCCTTTTTTTTCAAAATTATTTATTTTTGAGATTTGATTGAACAAAGTATTATTACAATAAATTTGTGGTCTTGGGGATCTTGATGATCTTTCTTTTCTCAGCTATTTCATTACTGATAGTAGCTTCAAGAAATGGGGAAAATGCTTGTTAAAACCTACTATGCTACCTTAAACAAATTATATTCTGGTTCTTGAAAATACTACCTTAGGTGTGAACTCCTCTAACCATGAATATGGTGATGTAATGACCAAAACACCTCCAGGTGCAACTAGAGATGGAAGCCTATCTAAGAACTGATATGGATTAGGAAGACGGCAAACCAAATTTGCAGCCAGAACACAGCCAAACTGCCCAAGATCACTGGGCAAATTGCAAGCATCTCCTTGATAAAAAGATAGACGACCTCTATCCTAGCAAAAATAATGATGACACAAAATTGTAGCTATTGTCACATACCAGATACATGAGAACCACTCCTTGGAAAAGATGAGCAAGACAAATCATCACAAAAAATAATAAATAAATAAAATACATGTATAAAAAATTAACTTCACCAACATCCAGCTAATTGGACCTTGTGATTGGTCAATAATGCCTTGGCTAATGCAAAGTAGAAACACCTACGCTATTGTTTCCCACTCATAGCCTCCTTGAAACAAATATTGTACAGCGTGAATTACTTACAATGTCAGGATCAACCTCAGCGACATGTTCAGACACAAGACTTCCTTCAGTTTGGACAGTGTACTCCAATCTTCCATACGTCTTGAGTTGATTGCAGGCATTAATAAAACCATGTGAGAAATCAATTCCCACAACTTGATCAAATCTCTTAGCGAGTTCAAAAGAAGATCGACCCACTGCACATCCTATGTCGAGAGCAATGCTCGGCACATTATCCTGGAGAGATCCAGATTTAATAGTGTAGTCACTTTTAGTTCGTTAAGAAGATACAATAACGAGAGTATTAAAATAAAGTCTAAAACTATGGTCTTTGCCCCCAAAGCAGATGTTATGAGAGGTTCATCTGTATAAGTGAAACACTCTCTTCTAAACCGTGGAAATAAAGAGTTGACACTATTTATCCACGTGCAGTGACCAGAATTCAAATTACTTTGACACACCTTAGATTTCATATGCCTCGCAATTTATTACGAAATAGAATCGAATGTAGTTTCATTGGCATATACTTAAGTGGTACAGCGAAAAATTAGCGATCCTACTTACCCCCATATGTTTAATACATTCCGACGCACATCGCTTGGGAAAATCAAGAGATTCATGGGGACCAAAGCCATATGGCAAAAGTTCGTCTGGTTTACCGAAGTGGAATATGAGATATTCGCCGATTAATTTTTCTGTCTCGTAAACGTTATCGTGAGCTTCGCGTCTTTTGGAAAGATAACGACAAGCTAGTATTGTAAGTGCAGAAGCACCAAGCGCACTAGCTGAGGCAATCATAAGACCTTTCTCCATGATTTGAAAAAATTGAAGAAATATTACAAAATAATCTGCCGATGTAATCCACCGGCACGTGGATCCTAGAATCCTTGATAACGATTTAGTGCTTGGTGACCTGGTAATCCCTCTAGCGGAAGTGTGGTACACCGGAAGTAATTTTCAAAAAGAGAAACAGAGACTGAAATTTAAATGGCCATAAATAGTTGTAACTAGCATTGTTACGCGTAAAATATTTAGTGAATTTTTTGCTAAAGGCAGCAAAAAAAAAGATAAATTATTGGTAAGGAACTCTCGATAAAGCAATTGAATGTTTCAGACAAACTAACTACATGAATGCTTCGTTTGTTGTCTGTTTTAGGCTAAGCTGTAGGGCAAAAATGGGGGAGGTTTGGGTCCGGTTGCACACTCCTCCGTTAAGGGTTTGTGTGATACTTTTCGACTAAACTTCTGCAATTTTGATCTAGAACCGTCTTTTTCTACTCTAATCTGAAGAAGTTCTTCCATGTAGTGTCTATCGTCTATTTACTGGAACGGGCTACTATGTTTAAGGTACGCTAAAGTAATGATGTTAAACCCTGTTTTTGCAAATCATTTTTTTTCTAGAATTTATTGTAACATTGTCAATTTGCTAAATGAGAAAGATATTCTTTCATTTTTCCGTCAAAAATGTCACATAAGTTTCACGGACTTGGGAAGCAGTCTTTAACGAAGTAACGTATCAAAAGAAACAAAACCAGATCAGAAATTTTATAGTTATACGCTATGGTCTGATCATGACCGAATACGTCCGAAGATTTTAGCAGGCAATCCCCATAATACACGTCTCTTGTGCGTTCCCTTCAAAAATTGAAGAAAATACGAGTTCATTTTAATTCTTACATTTTTAGGAAATATACTGTTTGAAGCTTTGACAACTTTTAAACTCGTAGGCGGGCCTCAACTTGCTAGAATAAGCTGTCATGAGTCTCAAGACGTTCTCGTTCTTCACGCGAGAGTCACTCCCAAAGCGTCAGAGTTTACAGTAACAATTATGAAATCAATAAATATCAACGTTAGTTAATCGGTATGCATATGCTGCTAAAAAAAAAAAAAAGAGGGCAAAAAGATAGTCCATCGGGGGAAAAATTCGAGAAAATACTCTTAATCGATTGAGGCCTGAAAATCATCTAAGGAATCGAATCTGGAACTCAGGATGTCGATTGTCTTCTTTTCCAGATGGTGGTACGAGCCACACCCCACTGGTGTTCATAGGAATATTCTCTGATGAAGTAGGGCATGAGCTTGTCCTCTACGAGCACAAAATTTTGGCTGAGGTAAACCTTCAACTTATCATATCCGGTGACGGCTTTACCATCTGCATCTTTGTAGCCACCCAGCCATAGATTCTATCGATAATAAATGAGCCAATGAGAGAAAAAATATACAAAATGACCGAGATAGCACACGCACTCTAGCGGATCAAAAATCTGTCATTTATCGTACCGATTGGACAATAGCTACTTCACAAAAGCAAAAGGCCGCGAAATTCGATCCCGAACTGAAGCGAGGGTGCGGCTGGTCTGAGGGGGACCTGGCATTAAAAATGATACCCTGCCAGGAAGCTATCATTTTCCGAATACTGTGCTTTCGCCTTCAAACGCAGGATTCCGAGTGGTAAAAAGAGAAGACGAAACAAGCTAGACTGCACGAGTTTGATTGTTGCCTGTAGCTAAAGGAGTTGGGACTAACCAAGGTGGGGTATATCGAGTTACATCGACATTTCTACACAGCGATAAATGATTTTTTTAAAAAATTGCTCTAATAAAGCTTACCTTGGGTGTGAATTTCTCCAACCAACAATAGGGTGAAGTAATGACTAAAATACCTCTAGGTGCCACTAGCGATGGAAGCCTTTCTAAGAACTGATACGGATTAGGAAGACGGCACACCACATTTGCTGCCAAAACACAGCCAAACTGTCCAAGATCACTTGGCAAATTGCAAGCATCTCCTTGATAAAAAGATAAACGACTTCTGTCCTGTTGAAAATAAAAGAAAAATGTGAAAACAAAACAAAACAAAACAAAACAAAAAATCAAGCCAAAAAAAAAAAAAAAGAAAGAGAGAGAGAACAGGGCAATATGACTACATACAATACCTATAAGAAAATAAATAAATTCTTAGTTATAATCCATTGATCTACATACAACAGCTCTTCGAGACATGGTGAGCCAGTATCCATATAATGCCTGGTAAAATTTTACAAGTAAACCGATGTTCCTATCTAAACATATAGTCGTTTTTTCAATTTTCTTACGAAAACGAACCAATTGAAGATATGAATACACCCTTGGCATCAGGAGATATTCTTCCAGCATAACCGACAACCTCGTTCCCAGGGCCTTTTCCCTTAGTTGGGC